AGGTGAAATTCTCAGCCACTTTCTTCTCAAATATCGTTTCTGTAACATTTTCCATTTCCCCTTCCGGGACCGCCCCCCCCCTTGTGAATACGCTCTCCACTCTGTATCTCCCCTCCCTTCATCTCTCCATGCTTCTTTCTGATTATCTTCTGATTTATCTTCTAAGCCACTGGCTTTTCCCTTCAACTCTGTACAACATGCGGCGCGCTGAGTCACAGAGCCCTTCGCGTCTCTTCTTCTGTTTCTCACTTCTGGACGTTCCCTTTGATTTATTTTATTAATTAGTATTAGTTTCAAGTTCTCTGCCACAATTCTGTCTTACATTTATCTCCTCCAATGTAGCAAGCACAGCTGTTCCAGTGGTTGACTGTGACAATGCTACTGTGAGTCCCCCCACACACACACAAGGCACACTTGCTGGATATTTTTAGTGAGGAGGATCACAGACCCGACGGACGGTTCATTTGGTGGCTATCTCAACCGTTGGAGAGTGTTGGAGGAAGGTTTCCGAGTTATCTAGAGTATACATACTTTTACTCTTATTTGTGAAAACCTCTAAAGTGGAAATTTCTTGTCCTTGCCTGACCATCTGCATAAAGGGAAGTAGGCTCTGCTCCATTCAGCACTAGGAGGGCCTGGTGACCAGGGCCAGCTGATGGAGGGCATCTGAGGTCACTACTCCAGCTGTGTGGGGACATCAGAGAGAAAGGCATGGTCCTCAATTAGCTGTTCCTTGTGGAATGCTTCCCTTGGCACCTGAGTCAGCCTCCCGAGTTAGTGTGATCTCATCCAACAGTTGGTTCCAGAACCTTTGTCAAATAAAGCTCTTGGAAGAACTAAGCCTGACAATCCCATCCCAACTCACTGAACCCTGGACCCCGACCTCCTCCTGAGCCACACCCGGAATAATGAGACTGGCTCTGAAAGTCACCCATCTGGAGCTCCAGGGCTCCCCAGGCCTCAACAGAGAAGGGCGAGGCTTTCTAGTTTGCGTGTGAGCGTGTGTTTGTAACAGCCGAGATATAATCTACACGACATACACTTTGCCCATTTCAAGCGCGCAGTGCTTGGTTTTAGTACATTCACGCAATGGCATGACCGCCCCATCACCAATTTTAGAACATTTTCATCCCTCTGAAAAGAACACCCTGTCCCGGTTAGCGCTCGCTCCCTCCCCCCACAGCTCAGACCCTGGACACCTCTAATCTACTTTCTGTCTTTACGGATTGGCCAGATCAGGACGTTTCACATCGGTGGAATCATACAGTACGTGGTCTTTTGTGACTGGCTGCGTCCGCTTGGCGTCCTGTGTTTGAGGGTCTTCCGTGCTGTATGCAGCAGGTGTCCGTATTCTCTTTATAGCCGAGTACTGTCCCGTGACACGGACAGACCGCATTTTGTTCGTTTATTCATCACCTGAAGGACATTTGGATTGTCTCCGCTTTTTTTAAATTATGAATCCTGCTTCCAAGGACATTAGCCTACAGTGTTTTTGTTCCTTTCGGGGATCCATCTAGAAGCAGACTCGCTGGGTCACCTGTAGCTCTACGCTTACTGTTCTGAGGAAGCACAAGGCTGTTTTCCGAAGCAGCAGCACCATTTTACGTTCCAGCCGGCCGTGGCCAAGGCTGACAGGCTCTCTCCATCCTTGCCCACATGCGTCGTTTTGATGACAACCATCCTGTTGGTGGTGAAGTTGTGTCCTACTGTGGTTTGGACTTGCGATTCCCTGGTGGCTAACAGCACGAACGTCTTTTTCATGTGCTCCTGGGTCATTTGTCAGTCTTGTTTGAGAAACGTTGAGAACCTTTGCCTCTTTTTAATTTTTTTCAATCATTGAGTTGCAAGAGTTCTTAATGTAGTCTAGATATAAGTCCCCTATCAGATGTACGATTTACAAATATTTTCTCCCATTCCGTGTTGTCCCCTGACTTTCTTAGTCGTGTCCTTTGAAGTCCAGAATCTGAAATTCTGGTAGTGTCCGATTTATTTACATCCCCTGCATTACTTGGGTTTTGGTGTCAGATCTAGGAAACTACCGCCTGATACAAGGTGATGATGATTTACAGCCATACTTTCTTCTCAGCATTTTGTATGTTTAGCCCTTATCTGGAGAACTTTGATCCACTTCGAGATGATTTTTATATATGGTGTAAGATAGGGATGCCATCTGGAGGCATCTTGGTTTTTTTATTATTTTCTGTTAACTTTTTGTTGTTGTTTTTCCATGATCTGGGAGAGGATCTCATTTGATTCCCGTTAGTAAGGCCCCAAAAAAACAGTTTGCCATCCTGCCGTTGCCTTTTCACGCACACACACACACAGGCACACAGATCCCATAGGATGGGGAGTGCACGCCTCACGGCTCCCACCCCAGCTACGGTGTCCTGAAAGTGGTAGCATAAACGGTGATCTCCTTTGGCTGAGTCACCGGCTGTTTTTAAGCCCTTTTGCTATAACACTAGCATTGGTTTTGCGGGTGAGTTTATCAGGTCTTTTCCAGGAACGGTTTGTCAGGGCCTTACTAGCCGAGGTCAGGGCTCCGCGGAAGGGGCCTGGACAAAGTGAGCAGTTTGGGGCACCTGGATGAAGCTGAGCTTCTTTGGGGAACGCCCTCAGCCCCTCCTCCCAGCCGCGCAGAGGCCCTTCCTTCTTGCACGGCTGTGGCTCTGTGGGGTCTGCTTTCCATCCTACTGGGAGCAGAATTGCAGTGTCTGCCCGGTCCTGCCTGGCCCTGGCCAGGGCTGAGCACGGGCCGATCCTAGGACCAGGCAAGAGAAGGACGCCGGTTGCTGCCAGCCTGTTGGCACCAGAGGAGCAGAACAGCCTCCGCACTCCAGGCGAGGCCGGGGCTCAGGCCGCTAACCCAGCTGGCAAGCCGCGGGGGGAAGAGAAAGGGACATCTGCTCTTCACTGCTGGAGCGTGAAGGAAGCTCTTGGCAGGGGTGTTCAAGCCTGCAGGTCACTGTAGGAGGTTGAACTGCAGCCCCTCCAAAAGGTACATCTGAGTCCTCGCCCCTGAGACCCATGACCGTGACCTTACTTGGGAATAAAGTCTTGTGCCGATGGCATTAAGGACCTTGCTAGGAGATGCTGGGTCTAGAAGGGGCCCTAAATCCAATGGCAGGTGTCTTAATAAGGGAACGGCGAGGGAGGTGTGACGGGCAGGAGAACGAAAGCCACGTGAAGACAGAGACTGGAGGGACTCAGCCACCAACCACGGAATCCCGGGGCCGCCGGAGGCCATAAGGAGCAGGGAGGGGTCCTTCCCTACAGACAGGGAGGAAACCTGGCCACGTCAATACCTCCATGTAGAGGTTCTGGACTCTAAAGCTGCAAGAGAATAAATGTGTGTTGTTTCAAGACATCGAGCTTCTGGCCGTTTGTCACGGCAGCCCCGGGACCCTGGCACCCTGGCCCGCCTGCCGGCCGCTCACTGGCTCGGGGAAGCACCGGGCACCCAAGGAGACCACGTCCAGCTCAGCCTGTAGGGCGCGTTCCCGTGAACCACAAGGCAGTTCAGGGCCCATCCTGTGCCCAGCTTTGTCCCCGGGTGCCCCGCGGCAGGCCCCGCGGCAGGCCCCCCGGCTTCCAGCGGACAGTAGGTGGGGTGCGGGGCCGGGGTGAGGAAGGAAGAGGGTTTGGTTCAAGGAGCAGACTGAGGAGGCTGTGATGCTGAGACACGTGGCTCCAAGTTTAATGTTTTCTGAAACAGCATTGGGACAGCACGAAGCAGCGGGCAGCGCTGGCGGGCCCAGAGAAACACCGTTTTCAAGTCTGACCAGCAGAAGCCCTTCAGAGGGAAGGATGTGCAGACCCCAGACCCGGTGGCCAGGCCCTGGGGGAGCCGAGGGATGGGGTCAAGACCAAGGGTCACCGGGTGGTGGGGAGGAAGGTTCCTGTAGTGGGCTTCAGGGCCCGAGCAGGTAGGATGGGGACCCTGGCCCTGGGCGTTGGTGGAGAGAGGCAGGGAAGGGCCGCCCGGCAAAAGCCAGCCACAGGCCAGAGCACCAACTCCAGGCGGCAGACGTCTACACCCCGCCTCAGAGAGAGGGTTCGGACTCCTGTGGTTGAGACATGCCTTCTGTCCTGGGCAGAGAGATGGCGCCCCACAGGGCCTCCGAGACAGTAGCTGGGAGCCTTCCAGCTCCTTCCGGCTCTGCCCCGAGCAGGGGCCCAGTGCAAGCCCTTCCCATGTTGTCTCAGGCTGCCGGTCAAAGAGGCCTGGGGAAGAGGCCTGGGACTGCCGAGTGTTGAACCTCCGGGAAACAGGACTGGGAGATGGTGTGCAAGGAGGTTTGGTAGAAAATAGTATATAACCATGACCCTGCTACAAAACGAAGGTCCCAGTGCCTTCCGTGACAGACCGTGTGGGAGGAGGGACAGCGACCCGTCTGGGAGGCCGACCTGTCTGGAGGAGGGACACCCTGACAGCAGGGTCACCGGTGTGAGGGCCCTGCACAGGGCTCCCGGGCAGCGTCGGGGAGTGGAGCAGAGCTGTGCCAGGATGGACGGCCGGGCCGTGGATATACAGAACTTTGCTTCCCCAGAGAAACATCTGCGGATCCAGCAGCTCCTGAGGTCCCCGGCTGCTGTCAGGAGTCTGTGCGCCCCAGCGAGCCAGCTGCTTCTCTCAACCCAGAGACCCACGGGCAAGGCCATGGTGCCCCCAGGACGTGGGCGTCAGTCCAGCTGCTGACCAGGAAGGCTCCTCCGCGGCCTAAGAGGGTCCCACGCCCTCCACCCCATTCCCCGTGGCCCACAGCGTCTACTTCAGGTCTTCTGGAACATGCGAGAACAGCCTTCCCCAGGAGCCGGTGCAGCTGGAGGAGACCCAAAATGCGCACCACCCTTCCCCACAGGGCTTACTTTGCTCCTTTCACAGACTTCAGCGTTTCCCTCGGTCTTTCCAGCCACGGGCAACAAGGATGACTCTGGGACACCCTGCCACGTGGCGGCCGGCCCATGGGGTCGCCTACGGACTTGGGCACAGAGGGCAGCTGGACGCCCCACCCTGGCAGGTGCCTGCCCGCCGAGCCCACCCGGGAGCCCTCGAGGCCCGCAAGCGCAGCTGCTCCTGCTCTCCCTTCCGTGGAGGGCGTCGTGTAGGAGGTGGAAGCTGGGGCTGCGGGGCAGGGAAGCCAGGCCTGGGGGGCGGGGTGGGGGAGCAGGGAGGCTGCGGCGGGCGCGGCGCGGGCCGGCGGGCTAGGGCTCCGCCGCGTGCTTGACCAGGTAGCCGCTGAAGGTGATGTAGGTGTCGAACTCGTCGCTGAAGATGGCGTTCTCCCGCTCGCCCTTGAAGAGGCGCACCCACACCTCGTCCTGGTCCCGCAGCTCGAGCATCAGGCTCTGGCTCTGCATGATGCTGCGGTCGCTCACCTGGGCGTACAGGATCACCACCTCCTCCGCGTTCTTCATGATGTGCAGGTACGTCTCCTTCTGGTTCCAGGTGTGCACATTGAGGCTGAAGAAGTAGATGCCCGGCACGTAGCAGTAGAACTTGCCCGTGAACATGTTGAAGTGGCCGTAGAGGTTCACGAACTCCGTGTCAAAGACAAGCGTCTGGTAGTAGTCGTTGCTGTGCAGCGGCTTCTTGCGGCCCACCGAGAAGGCGGCGTAGTGGTTCTTGCAGCGGTCCCCAGGGGCCCCTATCGAACCCTTCTGCCCTTTGGGGCCCACGTGGCCCCGGGCACCCGCCGAGCCGGTCTTGCCGTATTTGCCTTGCAAGCCGCGGTCTCCCCGGTCACCTTTCTCACCTAAAGGGACAGGAAGACACGTGGCGTCAGGCCGGCTGACCCAACCGTGAGGACGGTTCTGTTTTCATCCAGAGGCAATCATTTGTTTTTCCCCCTCTGGAAAGCCCTGGCAGAGAAAAGGGAACATGGGGGTTTGTCCAAAAGCAGCAGGCACTGCGGCCAGCCCACGGCAGACTCGGAGCAAATGAGCTGCAGGTGGCAGGCTCGCCCCAGTGCTCTGGGGTGGGACCCGCAGGGCTGGGCCGGGTTATCTGGACCACGGGGCTGGGGGCATTTCAGAAGGCCTGGCTGGGGGCAGGGGGGGTGGCACTGAGCCTCTAAACAAAGGTTAAGGAGGCTCGGGTGCAGCCCCAGGGCTGAGACCCTCTTCCGGCCCTGGTCCCGTGGGCCTCTTTCTAGTCTGTCCTCTTGGCAAGGGGGCAGAGCCTGTACCCCTAGAGGACAGCCTGCCTCTGCTCCGGCCCTGTGGAAGCTGTCTACACCCGCTGCCTCTTCTCCCCACTCAGCACGGAGCAACCCCCCCTCCCGTCCATGGGAAGGTCCCTTTGGCTTCACGGCCATCTGACCTTTCAAGATGGTGATGTTGATCTGTGGTACGGGGATAGCCTGGTACACGGGGGTACCAGGGTCACAGCAGCGGAAGCACGGGGAAGCTGCGGCCTCCTCCCCCCACCTGGGGCTGTGCTTTTCATGGTTTTCTTCATCCCTGAGGGAATAAAGGCGGTACAGGGAAAGCCATGAGCTCTCAGAGCTGGGACTTCCCCTCACTCCTGCAGCCGGAGGGTCTGGTCTACCTGCGCGCCTTCCCTCTGTCCTGGAAGTGCCAGACAGCGTTCACTTTCCCGGGACAGGGACAGCCTTCGCTCTGGGCAAGCTCTGGGACCCTCCAGGAAGTTTCAGCAAGAGCTCTGCCTTCTTGTCATGCCAGTACTCGTAATGGAAACAATGAGTACAAAAACACCAATAATTTGAGCCCCCCCCCCCCCGGAAACGAAGTCTGCTTGGAGAGGTGTGCCCCTCCGGGAGGGGTTTCAGATGATGTGTGACCCAGCCGCGGGTCCCCTTCATGCGATGTCCAGAAGCTAGGACATTAAGATGACTCATTTGTAAATGCAAGGACTCAGCTCCGTCTTCAGGATTCCCTTGAGCTGCAGTGTTGGCAGCTGGACACTCCCCTCTGCTGTTTACTACCCACCCCTGAAGGACCGCAGGGCGGACGGGGTGGCCGCTGGCAGCGGCTCCATGCTGCCACCTTGTGGCACCGCACTGTGCTGCACGGGCTCTTTCTGGCTCCCGCCCTAGAGCCTGGACATCTCAGAGACAGTCCCTCCTTCTCTGTGGCCGCTTCCTTCTCTACCTCTGCTCCTGCTCTTAAACCCCAGACAATCCAGAAAATGGATCTGTACCCCCTAAACACAGGCCTCCGAGGTGGTCCCCCACCTCTCGCCAGAAGTCTCCATCAATGGTCTGCAAGCCCCACCAAGTTGATGTGTCCAAAAGTGTCAGCCCGTCATTCTGCCCCGGGAACCTTCTCTTTCCAAACCCTCTTCACGGCGCCATCACCAGTCGCCCAGAATGGACCCTCGGGTTCATTCAAGAGGCTTCTCTGGGCTCACGACCACATTCTGAGGATCCCGGGGTCAGCCCCACCCCCCACGAAGGCACTTGCAGAAGCTGGGCCCTCGGGCCTCCCCATCTCTGGGGGACCGTTGCCATTCTGACTGCTCTCCTGGAATCCGCCCCTTTCCACACCTCCCATCCCTCTTGTTCTCTGCCTCCTACAACGCTCTTTCTGGAACGTCATATCGAACCCTCCCTGTGACATCCCCACCCCCTCATGATAATCCCTCGTGACTCCCTGTAGGATTAAGTGCACGAGAGACCCTTTCCCATCAGGCTCATCTCCCCTCCCCTTCCTACCCTCTAGCACCAGCTCCACTACGCCAGGCCCACCTGGCATGGTCACACCCTCCTTCCGCACTTGGGATGCTCCCCAGGCCCAGGTATCCTTCAAGATGGGGACACTCCTGTGCTCAGCCTCTCCCACCTCCCCCACCGCCCCCAGCACCGCGGGCAAACCGGTACTGCAGAGACTTCCTCCGTGCTCTGGCTCATGTGTGTCTGCATCCCCACAGCCTCAGAGTCCCTGGAGGCCAGAACTGTCATTCGTGCGTTCCTCCGGTGCCCCCCAGACGGCCAGATCGAGAGTGGGCACTCGGTATTCATTGAATGAAAAGTGAGGAGAGGAGGAAGAGGAGGAGGAGGGGGAAGGGGAGGAGGGCGAGGAGATGATGGATGTCAGCGTGTCTCATATCACACTCTGAAGACAGCCTGAAGCCTTGGGTATCAAGTCAGCCCAAAACTCAAAATAATGAAGAAATTCAAAGCATCAGCCTAGCTCCCAGGTGTCTAGGACCTCACATTCGATGAGTGACAGTTTCCCGAGCAATCCTAAGCATTCTGTGCCTCCTTACAAAATACTCCAGATAGCCTGAAGTCTCTGTTCTCGAAGGTCACATCCATGAAGATGATGCCATTCAGGAGACATCATGACTTTCCGAGAAAAGCACCCCCTTCTCTTCCGGCCCTCGGCAGTCCTCTCCCGCTGGCAGCCTGATCAGATGGTCAGGGTCCCTGGGCCAGCTCACGGCTGCGTCCCTGCCTATTATACCTGCAGGTAGCACTCAGAGCCCTGAAGATATTCTCGAAGGACAAAACTAGGATAGAAGAACCAATGGAAGGCGGGTGGGGGTGCAGTTTGGGGGAACTTTACCAAGGATGTGGCTGCAAAACCTTACAGAAACCCAATCCCTTTGGGGTTAGAACAAGATGGGTCACCACCCTCAGTTTCAGATAAGGCCCCGGGGTCACCAAGAGGAGAAACGGCAGGTCTGTCCTCTGGGACCAGTGTGTGCAAGGACCCTTCCTCAGCCTCAGCTATGACCCCTTCGCATCCAGCCCTGAACGAACCCTCTGGAGTGCCCCGGACCCCAGGCTCCACCCACCAAGCCCGAGCTCCTGCCTCCGCACCTCCCCATCTCTCACCTCACAGCGTGGTCCAGCGGCAGCTCCTTGGTCCCCTCCTGCTCTGGCGGCTCCTGGAGACCACGTGGCACACGGCCCAGCACCGGGCCACAGGCGAAGGCCAGCAACAGGCCACCCGCCAGCACGAGTCTCAGTCCCCGGGAGCCCATTGTCCCGCCGGTGCCTGCTGGGAAACACACCCAGGGAAGGACTCGGGCTGGGGCGGGCCCTGCAGAGCAGCAAGCCCGAGCTGGGTCCTTACCCACGAACCCCGGAAGGCTTCAGCCACCGCAGCTTCAGGGAGGCCGACCACGTGCACGTGCACTCACGCTCACACACACCCACACGTTCTCCTCACGCTCGTCCGTGCACACTCACACGTGCACACTCTCAACACACATGTGCCGCGTGCACACTCGCACACCTAGTCTCACACCGCCGCACGTGTGTGCACACGCACGTGCACAGCTACGTGCTGCCCCTGGGCTGGCGCCGGAGCTCTCAGGGGAAGCCCTGGACAGGCCCTCAGCCAGTACTGAGAACAGTCCTTCCAGAAAGACGTGTCCACTGTGGGTCCCCAGGGAGCCCCTTAGGGGGCAGTGCCTGGACTTCAAATAGGCACAGCATCCCACCCCTTTCCACCACTAGAGGCGTCTCCCCCAGCCAACTCGGGGAGCCTTTTCTGCTGTCTGGCATCGGCAGCCCCGCGTGCCTGGCTGTTTCGGTCGGGCGGGTGGGGAAACGTCCCCGCTGCGGGGGCCGGTAACTGGTCAATCCCAACCCATCTTGGGATGGTTCAACACCCCGCAGGCCTAGTGGGGACACCAGTCCAACCATCTCAGCAGCCCAGGGAGGGATGGAGGCCTGGGGGAGGAAGAACCACCGTGCTTGAAGGCAGGTTACCAACGAGGTGAGAGGCATATCTCGAAAGGAATTAAAGGAAAATATCTGATTGTCCCTTAACTCCTCTTTTATGTTTAAGGACAGTTAAATCCCGAGACAGATTTCTTCCTCTGGTCAGTAATAGTCTACGCAAATGATAGTCTATGCAATCCTTCCATTGGCTGGGGGAGGCCATGGGCTGCCCTCAAACACCCCGTCACTCAGAGAACTTCTAGCTGGTGCGGCATGGCCTTAGAGCTCCGTAGGTCAAATTTTGGGCTTTGTTTTTCACTCTGCACGTCGGTGGGCTCGCTGCTGTAGCACTGGAGAGAGGCTGCCCTGGGAGCCCTCCCTGCCGGAGCCCCCGTGCCAAGTCAGGAGAGCGTGGGGGAGGCAGAGAGCTGGGAACCCGAGGCCTGGGACAGAAACAGCGGGAGCCAGAGGCTCTCTGGATGGATCCTCAGACATGTGCTGAGCCTCTGAGCTGGGGAGGCCGCCTCCCCAGAAACCCCCTCCTCCCTTGTCACCCACACCTCCACTGGGTTTTCAGTTCTCTGCATGGAGTGGATCAGCGGGGCCTCCCTACGTCTAGGCTCTGTACCAACCAACCAACCCTCCTAAGCATCAGGACCCAGAGACCTGCCCAGTGGCCAAGAGACTACTTGGACCAGCAACACCCCAACTCAATCTCTACTGTTCGTGTTTATGTGAATTTATAAAATATGTATTAAAGTTATCTACCTATCCATCCATCTGTCCATCCATCCATCCATCCATCCATCATCCATCCATCCGTCCATCCATCCGTCCATCCATCCGTCCATCATCCAACCATCCGTCCATCCATCCGTCCATCATCCAACCATCCGTCCATCCATCCGTCCATCCATCCATCATCCATCCATCTGTCCATCCATCCATCCATCCATCATCCATCCATCCGTCCATCCATCCGTCCATCCATCATTTCTCCTTGGCAGAGCATGGGTGGGTGACACCGTAGTCTGTCCCCACTCTTTAGCCACCTTGTACAGCACGTCTCAACCTGTGCCCAAGCTCCCTGCTTTGCAAACTTTCACGTACACACATACCACCTGGGAAATCTGGTTAAAATGCAGATTCTGATTCAGCGGGTCTGGGACAGGGCCTCGAGGGTCTGCATTCACAGAAAGTCCCAGGCACTGCCAGTTCTCCTCCGCCTCGGACCATGCTTTCGAGCTTTCGAGCCCCGCTTCCAGCCCTTCCCCTAAACTCCTGGCATCTGTCCACCCACACACAGCCTGCCCCCTGCCCAGGAGTTCCCATCCTCTTCCTCTCTTCTATTAAAAACCAGCCTCGTAGGACCCACAGCCCCCCCACCCCGCCCCCGCCGCCAAGTGCAATGCTGAGTCTCCCGGAATCATCTCAATTGACCCCTCTGATCTCGTAAGTCAGGGTTAGGTCTGAGAACATTTCCTCATTCGTCATTCTTACCCCCCGCCCCCCACAGCAGCCTCAGCAGGGCCTGCGGTGAATCCTTCAAGGAGACAACATTCATTATTATACCGAACTCACAAACAAGGAAACAGAGATGTGGAGAAGTTAGTTCATCAGCCTCAGACCGCCCCACCGGTAAGCCGGGGCTGGAGGAGGGCAGTGGGCTTGACCTCAGCTGGCTTCCATCGATCCAATCAGTATCCTACCCGGTCCTCAAGACCCAGTTCAGGCGCCTCCTCTTCCTCCCGAGGCCTTCCCAGTCCCTCAACTGCCAAAACCTCTCCATCCTCCTTTCAGATTTTGTTTTTCCTGTTGCCTCGTCCTGCAGCGTTTTGCTTGGCCGGTAAGACTGCACAGCAGACCCTGACCTCCTGGTCTTGCTCCTCTTGGACCCGCCGAGCGTCCCGCAGCACCCTGAATTTGATCGCTCCTCGACAAATGTTTGTGATGTGGGATTTTCTAAAGTTGTTTATTTCCCCTTTTCTGTATTTCCTCTGTTTTTCCTTGGCACCTCAATAATGACTCTTTTCTCCCCCCGCCTTGAGATGCCAGGCTTGCATCACTTGAAAGAAAAAGAGGTTTTCCTTTCTTCAAACATTTTTCTTTCCTGAATCCAAAGTAATATATATTCATTTTGGAAAAGTCGGGAAGGAGCCACAAACACACATGAATCGGATTCTGTTGTCCCCAGGGTTTCTCGACCTCCACACGCCTGGCGTTTGGGGCTGACTCACTGTTGTGGGAGCTTGTCTTGTGCATTGCAAGAAATTTATCAGCCACCCCGACTCCATGCCCTGTATTCTACTGACAACTCCCCCCCACCCCAGTTGGGACAGCCAAAAACACCTCCGGGCTTTGCTGCACGTACGCTGGGAAAGCAGAATTCCCCCTGGCTGAGGCTCAGGGTTCGACACCCGACAGGAGCACCACTTGGCATGTTGGTCTGTCTCCTCCTACATAAGAAGGGATTTTCCTGACCTCGACCAGAAGGATTGGGGACCGGGGCCTTCGGGGTGATGGGATGAGTAGGGTGGACCCAGCAAGGAGTCAGAGGCACCAGGCTGGCAAAGTGAACGACAACAGAGGGTGCTGGGTTCTTCTCAAGAACCTCCTTTTCGGGACCAAAGAAAACCCTGAGTGAAGTCTTTCCTTCTCCAAAAATATCTGAAGAGTCATTTTACCAAGACCCACAGAAACGCCAGCATCATGACATTATGATCATTGTAGTCACTTTCGGGCAAAAACAGCATTGCCCAACATCCAACCAAATTTGGCTCTAAATCACTTTTAGCAATTTCCAGTGAAATGAAGTCACCTACAGAGGCCAAGGCTTTGCCCCCCCCCCCCCCCGAGGAAGGTCGCTCAGAAGACCACGCGTCTCCCAGCAAAGGTGGGGCGGGGAAGGCTCCCCCCGCCGGGACTTCTCCACCGGTGCTGTGTAACCCTCACTGTCTGGCCCACACGGTCCAGCCTCCAGGCTGCCTTGCGGTCAAGGCATCTGAGGCCAATTACAACGTGACTCAAGTTCCTGACTTGTCTTTCTCAAACGCAGTGAAGAAATTCATTTGCTGAATCCCATGGCCACTCCACGGACACCTTTTTCCTCCTACTCCCTGCCCCACAAGGCCCGCCACCCTCGGCTGCTCTCCCCTTGGTGCTCCCCTCTGCTTCAGCTTAACCTCCCCCCAACAAGGAAGAACCCCCCTTTGCAGGACTGGGGGGGTGCCAGAGGGGGAGCTGGGCCACTTACAGGGTCAGAGAATGCGTCCTCGTTAATAATCGGCATCCCTCCTCTGACCTTTTCTGGACACGGGGTGAAACCTTCAAGGTGACAGTCTTCAGACCCACAGTGCAGTTCCCCGGCGTCCGTCTGAGATCCGTCCCACCCCCCGTCCATGCTGCCCTGCCTGGGATCATCCAGGAAACTTCTAGAGCCCGGTTGCCACATGTCTGCCTTTGTCCGTGATGCCACACCCAGACCAGGGCCATCTGGCAAAAGCATTTACAAACATGGTTTTCCCTCTTCCTTAATCCTCAGCGGACGACCAGCTGTTCTGGGAGGCAAGAAGCCTAGAATCTCCCTGGATTAGAAGCAGCTTAGACGACAAGCCGTTCCCTCCCTCTCACCAGAACATCTCGCACGGGCCTGGCTCCCCAAAGACCCATGATGTCCCCGGCCTTGTGTGGGAGCTCGGGAGGGAGTGATCCTGCCAGAAACTAAACTCCCTCCCTGACCTCGAGAAGATGACCATCCAGTGACGAGACGACGGGTGCTAGATCGCGGCTCAAGACAGTACAGCGAGCACGGGAGCAAGGTGGTGAGCGGGTAAGGAAGCTTCGAGGCCTTCTCGGTCCAGGAGACGGCCTCTGGGCCACATGCCTTTCATTTTAAACCAATTAAATAAAACGAAATTCGAAGCTGAGGGCCTCGGCCACACCAGCTGGATCCTGAGCCATGGGGGCGGTCATCAGCGGCCGCCATGGTGGACAGCAGGGGACAGAGCGTTCCGATCACGGCTGGGAGGGCTGTGGGACCAGATGGCATCAGCGGGGGAGGAAGCCGGGCTAAGCACAAGCAGCCAGCCAGGAATCTGGGAGTCATTTGGGCTCTTTCCTCTCCTGTGTCCGCCACATCGGATCAGTCACCCACCCCCTTTAATACCTCCTGAAGGTCTCTCCTCCTTTCCGCCCTTTGCCTCTACGTGATGCTTTCCAGGAGCTCTGGCTGGGGCCCAGACCTCAATACACCCAAGACAAATATCTTTGTCTGGCTTTTCTAGGGCCTGGACGTCACCCGAAAATTTTACGCGTGGCTCCCGTGGAAGTCTGGCATAAGATGGGACTTTTCTCCTACACCTAATGGCTTCGAGGCCAAGAATGCAACTCAGCGTGGCATGGGATCCCTCCTTGTTTCCACGTGGCATCAACTGCGCTCCCACGGCCGGGGCGTCCTCCACACACCCGCTCCCACCACCTTCCGCTCCCCGGCGTCCTCCCAGCCAGAAAGGAAACTCCAAGGCTGCCCCTCTCTCTGCTCTGACATCTGGGGGAACTCTCCCACGGGGGAGCTTAGAACTCTCCAGCTGTCCCAGGAAGCCTGCTCGGGTTAGGTCCCGGGGTGCCCAGGAAGGAGAGAGCGCCGTGTTGGGGTGTCCCTCTGGCCCTAATGAGCATCACATGACCCCTGCTTTCCTTCCCCAGAAGCCATTCATCACGCTAGCTTTCCTCTTACCAGATTCCTCTGGTGACAGGAAGGAGGGAGGCCAAGGGACTTCCAGGTGATGAACGACGTCTGCTCACCGATTCCAGAAGCCCACCGAAGATCTAATTTCCCCTTCTATAGCCGGGCAGCACAGCTGGCCCCAGACCCTCCCTGCTTCCCCCCCTCCCACCCACCCCGCCCTGTAAAGGAGGCAGCGGTGGGAGCACGAGGACCCCTTATTAAAGGGACTACAGTCGGTTCCTGCCTGGAGCCCATGCCACTTGCTGAATCTCTCTTTTCCCTTCTCCAGGGAGCTGCTGTCTGGCTTAGAGAAGAAGGATTTTTTTTTAAGGTTTTGGTGCTTATTTGGTGACCTCCAAAGCACATGGCCAGGGATGGAGACGGAGTCTTTTGGGGGCTACTTCCTGGTTAATAAGCAAGGGCTCCCTCTTCCCTGCCTAGCAGAGACACCTGGTTCGGGACAGAACAGTACACAAAAGAGAAGGCAAGAGGTCCCCCCCCATCCTAAAACATCTCCATCTCTCCTGGGACAACGGGGCCTTGGCAAGGAAAGGCTCACCTGGCTTCTGCCCCTGCCCGGCAAACAGCGGGGCCACGTGGGCTGCAGGCGTTGGGCCTCCGGGGGCACCTGGCCAGCCCAGCCTCTCCAGCTCCGAGTCCGTCCCGGTGCAAACAAAGACCTCCTTGACTAGAGCACTGTCCTTAGATCACCTCCCAGCTGCCAGGCCTTGGGCTGCAGGCTCGCCCCTGCTTTGAGAACTGCCGGAGAGAGAAGAGCCGCGACAGCTCGTGCCGTGAGCCTGCTCTGCAGGTGGCCTGGCCCAGGGCCCACTTCCCCACAGCGGGGACGCCCTCGGGGTCTGACTGCTCCGGAGGCGGAGGGAGGGGAGAAGCCGGGGAATGCCACCGCCCGCGCCCGTCCCTTTACAAGCTGTACTAGTGTCTTCCATTCTGGGGCCTAGACATCACCCCAACATCTCACAAACACCCCCGAGGAAGCATGGCAGAAGATAGAACGTTGTCCCACACCAAGTGGCTTCTCAGTCATGAATATAATTTACTCAGCGTGCAAACAGTGCCGGGCTGGCCTCCTTCTCTTTGGTCCCCGCTCCGGCTCAGCCTGTCCCCCAGCATCTGTCCTTTACCGTCTCCCCCTCAGACACCGGTGTCTCCCAGGCTGTGGCCTCGGCCGTCAGCAACTCCCTTTTCGAAACACACTTTTCTGTCACTTTCTACAGTGACAGCTCCCCAGTCCTTGTCCCCACGCCGGCCTGGCCAAGGAGTGATTGGCCCATGCCCCCCAGAACAATGTGGCCACTAGCCCCTGGGGCCAGTTAAATTTGTTAAAATTAAGCAAAATGAAGAATTCGGTTCTCAGCCACACCAGGACGAGGTAGGGGGCTGCCCTCTCGGACAGCACCGCTGCAAAACATTTCCATGATGGCAGAAATTTCCATGAGACAGCTCGGGTTATCTGTCTTCTGAACACTGCTCTTTGCTCGGACCCCTGCTCTCCCACCTCGAACCCCATTTAACTCTGCTCCTGTCCCCACCATACCTGCTTCTGAAGCTACAGCCACTGCCCGCTCACACGGGGGCCGCAGGCCAGAAATCTAGGGGCCACGCAGACCCTGCCTCTCACGCACCTGTCACCTCTCATCCGTCACCCAGCCTCCCGAAGGCCTCTGGTCCTCTCCTCCCCGGCCCGTCACCTCTTCTCAGCCCCCCGCTGCTCTGTCTCTCCTCCGTCCTCCCACCTGCTCACCAGAGGCACCAGGCGGTACTGCCAATGCGAATTCCACCCGGGGCTTAAGAGGCTTCCCGTGACAACAGGAAAAATGTTTAAACCTGCAGCTTGCTTCACCACCGGGCTTCTGCCTTGCCTCTGGCCACGTCACCGCCCCACTCCAGCCATCTGGAGCTGCTCACGGCTCTGCTCCCAGCCCCAGCACCCGCCGCAGGCTCTCCTCCGTCTGTCCCTTCCCCCAACACCTTCTCCAGCCAGCATGTGCTCTTCAGAGCCCAGCCTGAGGGCACCCCTCCAGGAAGGCACTGCCCCAGCATCCCGTGGCTCTAGCCCCTCGCACCAGGAGCCCCTCCCAGGGAGCTGTGTCTGCTGTCCCGTGTGTCCCCAGCGTCGGATGTCTGATGTCCCACCCTGATGGAACTCCGCACTCACCTTTCTGCAAAGCCAACGTGCAAACAGGACTCCAGGATCCCACACTTCTTGCTAGGGCCTCAGGGCGTTCAAATCTCCCTCTAGCTCCTGGGTGGGGCTATTTGGGGAGAGAGGAGGGAAGGGGGGAGAGTGACCCAGGGTGGGCTCTGGAGTGCCGTGGTCGCAAGGCTGAATCCTGGAGTGGCCAGTCATCTTGCCCTCTTATCTGCGCTCAGAAAGTCTACTTCCTAAGGGCTACGACCCCTTGCCTCCATTACCAAGGTCACAAGTCACCTAACCAGGAGAAGCGTGCTTTGTGGAAAGGCAAGTAAATAAGTAAATAAGCACCTGGGGGGAGGGGAAGCTCCAGACTGCAGTGCCAATTAGCGACCTCGGATCATAGACGCCTCTCCGCTAATCAGAGAGATCTCCCCGACGAGTGAAGGCTGAGTCGAAAACACACACACACCAGCGCACGTCCGTGCCCCCGGCCGCCGAGATCTGATCGGCCACCCACCTGGCCACTAACAGCAATTATCCCTGGGGTGATGAAAATAGGCATGTTTGCCATTTTCTTATTTTGGCTTCTCTGATTTTTTTCCTCTCTAGCAGGCACATACTTTTTTGCATTAAGTACACACTATTTTCCACTTAGAACAATGACGAGTGAACCCCACCCTGGGGACTCAGAGAGCATTTTGTGTATCACAGGGGATCGGACTCAAGCGAAGAGAAGGAGGGGCTTGGGGACAAGCCGGGACGCCCGGAGTGTAAACTCCATGTACTGAGCTGGGGGCCGGGGGCACAGTGCAATAAGAAGGAAATACAGCCTCCCCCCCCTCAGCCCTCCTGGGGGAGCAGAACCCCTGGAGTTACCATGGGTATGGGTTAGGCCAGGGAGGGCCACCTAACTTGGACCAGAGCCAGGCCTGGTGGAGAAATCACTGTTTCCTAGGAGGGGGGATTTTTTCTGTCCTTGACACGCCTTTCGCTGGTGGTACTTGCCGCGGAGTCCGTGGGACCAAGGAAGCCAAGTCCTTGAGCCCATCCTTAGGAACCCTATGCAACGGCCAGGGAGTTAATGAGCCCAGGAGCAGCCCCGTCATTGGCAGAAGTTCCCTACGACCGTTGACTGAGACTCCTGCCTCTCTGGGCGTCCACCTGCGTTGCTCCCTGGGCAGGAGCTGAACAGCGCCCCGTGGCGTTTGGCCCCGAGGAATTTATCCGCCAGCCGAGCCCTTCCATTCACGCACATTCAGCCGACTGAGCACCTGTGTCGGGCACGGCATGGGGCATGGGCGTCCATGACAACCATGGTCCCTGAAGCCACGTGCTAAGATCTCCCTGTCACCAGGCTGCCACCTTAAACCCCACCCCCTCCCAGTTGAATTCCTTTGGATTTAGGCGCAGAATCACCAGGAACCACCCCCAACCCACCCCTTCCCTCAAAATGTCAGCGGTGCAAGCGGGAAGTGTGGCCCATTGAATGCGCATTTTGAGAGGCTTGTTGTCACTGGGTAGAGACACACAGCCCACTGGGGAGCTCCGAAAAGGAGAAGGAGGGGGAAGCCCACACCCGGCCCCCAGTGCACTCCGATGGACAGAAGCCGACGAGAACGCTGGGTTGCAGAGAGACCCATGGCCAAGCACAGCTAGCAGGAACCAAAGGTGTACAGAATTGGCATGGGGGGGGCAGCATGGGTGCTCTGTGTCTGCCCATCCCCAGGGGTCTGCCTGGGGGTCAGGCTTAGGTGGAGCCTCCAGCGGGGGCTCCTACAGAGAAGGAGCTGAAACTGGAGAATGTGGGAGCAAAGAAGGGAACACAGAGGGGAAGGTGGCCTAGGGCCCCGCTCCCCTCCCCAGCGGCCCGGGGCTAGCTCTGCGTGCCCTTCAGGCCTCCTTCTCAGGGGCTCATCTAGCCAAGCCCATGGCCACTTCACAGAGCCATGCGTCTTGCTCTCATGGCTGTGTCCTCGTGGGGAAGGAGGGAGTCCGGAATGCCAAAAGACCTGAGAGCCCCCAGGCCACCCCCAAACCCACCCAGACCCACCCATCTCTCACCGGAACCCACTTCTAGACTCCTCGCAAGGAGAAAGGGCCTGAGTGTTTCTGCGTCTCCAGACCAGCCCCAGAAACCTGCAGGGCAAAGTCGCAGGGCCCAGCCCAACTTCTGGCCTGCCCTCGCCTGCAAATCCGCCAGGGCTGGCAGCTCTCCCAGGCAAGGTCTTCTTCCTTCCCTGGTCCCCAGGGTAGAGGGCGGCTGCTAACCAGAGGGTCCCACTTGGGGTGGGGGTGCAACCCCAGCCAAAGGTTTTGGGGGATTCCGCAAGTATGGCTTTAACTGGGGCCAGCAACAGCCTTTGACCAAGCCCCAGGCACCAAGGACTTGACTTCCCCACTCCCCCAACTCCCCCATTGCCTTCCCCGCCCGTCCGCCTCTTTTCCTGTCCTCCCTTCCCATCCAGCCTCCCTGCCGGCAGTCTCCAGCTCTGCTCCATCTTGTTTCAAGGAAAATTCCTACAGGAGCCAGGGAGATGGTCAGACACTGGGCCCAGCCTGGCCCACGGCCATCCCGACGGCCATCCTGGACAGGGCGGGACGCCCCCGGAGGACTGGCTGGAGAAGAGGTTGACTCCAGGGGCCTGCAGGGCAAGCCAGAGACACCCCGGTGGGCAGTAGGGGGCCTCCGTGCCTCTGGCCACACCCGTCCCACTTTAAGCCCGGTCCTGGAAAGAAGCATGGGTGAGGATAAGAGGCTAAAAAGGATGCTGGGAGCTCTTGTCTCCTGCTCACGGGACCACTCCATTTTCACAGCAGAAGCCCACAGCCGAGCTTGCAGAGCGGGAAGGGAGCCGGCAAGCCCGCTTCCCCGCATCTGTGCCAGAGCACAGGGCCGGCCTGCCGGGCCGAGAACCCAGGCACGGATCCCCTGGCAGGGCCCCGAGAGTCCCAAGTCCCAGGCTTGCTGGGTTGCCCCGAGAGAGTGGGCCAAAGCGCCTTGTGTGGGCTTTGATGATTCTTTTCCAGATTGTTCTCCAAGTGGGCAGACCGAGTGTGGAGTCAGGGGGACACCCACGGTCCTGTCCAGGGACTGCCTTGTCTCACTTGACTTTAAGAAAGAGAAGACAGATTTCAGCAGGTAAAAACAGGAAGAAAAAAAAATTAATAACCCTAGGCCCACGCAGTAGTTACACCACCAAGACGAAGCGCGGGGGCGGGGGGGCATCACCTCCACGTAAATATCCATGGGCTCTCAGGGCCGGAGGCGAGGCTGCTTCTGAAATGCCCATTTTCCTCTCCGGTGGCTCGGCAACATGGCCTCAGGCACGAGGACCCTTTCACTCTTCCTTCCCTTTGTGAGCCATCGTCGCCCCCCGGGGGCCCTGGAGTCTCAGCCGCCCCCAGTTCTAGAAGAGGGTCCCCCGTACGGGGCCAGACTCAGCAGACAGAGCCCCAAGGGCAAGCTCATGTCCGGTGAGGACGCCCAGCGGCACGACTGTATCTACAAAATTCTTTTCATCTTTGTTTTGATGGGTGAAGTTCAGTGCCAGAATATTTGGTTTATGAGTCATACTAATTACAGCTTGGGGGGAGGAGGGCTGGAGGCACCAGGAAGAACAACAGAAAGAAGCATGTTCTGAAAAAAATTATGCTGTGCTGGTTGCCCTGAATAGGGAGGTTTACATCCCAGGAATGAAGAGGGAGCTGGCTGTGTACCTTTCTGGGCCCATGTTAGCTTCTCACCACCCACCTGCGTGGGCGCCCCTCGCTGGCTGGCTGCACCTGTCCTTCTGGCCGGGGGGCAGCCCCCCAACACCTCCTGCACCCGCATTTCTCTGTCTCCCTGACCTCTTGCTCATGGGAAGCACTGCCCTTGGCATCATAAGAGGCTCAAGATGGGAGAAGGAGGAGGCCAAGAATAGGAGGAGAGGGCGGGGTCCCTGGGAAACAGAACCTGGCTGTCCTTCCTGCCCTCGGGCGCTTTCTCCCTGGATAACTGGGAGGCAGATCAGCCTTCGCTTAGAGAGCTGTTGACCCTTGAGCTAGTTACACTCCTTCTCCGGGCACTGAGATGCCGGCCCTCCAAGGGGATCCTCCACGAGTGTGCATGGGCCGGTCAGGAGCCTCTCTGAGCTCTTCAGCACTGAGAGTGCCACTGATAGGATCTACGGGAATTGAATCCGCATCTGCCCAGCGCCTGCCGTGCGGGACACACACACGCACACGCGCGTGCACACACAGCACTCACCCCAAGCTCCTCCCAGCTCTCAGGTCGAGAGGGAGAATGGGGAAGGGAGATGGGACAGGATAACTCAAGCCTCAGCCCCCATCGCCCCTTCCTCTTCTCGCCGGTGGGGACACGGGGCAGGCCTCTCCCTGCAGCACACAACCGTCAAGTCCATCTGTTTGCAACCTCACATGTGGGACTGACTGCGTGCTTTCCTGCTCTATAAAAAGCAAAGGCCTGGCAGCCCTGGAGGACCTCACATCCTCCCCTGGGGACCCAGGATGTAGCTAGTGGTTGAGAAAACTCAGTTTCTCAGGACACGCCTCATCTCCAAAGCTAGGAAAACAGCAGCCCCAGTGTGTGGCACTAACCTCCATTCCTGGAAACTCCGTGAGATGGAAGAGCCCCCCCAGTCACAGAGGGAGGCCGCTCCCTCCCTCCCTTCCAAGTGGACGGGGAGGGCCCACACGTGCCCACAGAGGACACGGGGCTGCCCAGGAGTCAGCACGCTAGGAACCAGCCTAACACAGTGTGGGTGCCCGGGGCAAGTGGGAATCACACCCGTCCCTGTGGAATGCCTAGAACAACAGAGCAGTACGTGGGGTCTCGACACAGAGGTCCAGAGGCTCACGGGCCCAGATGACTCGGCCCCAGGCCAGGGATGGTTCTCGAGTGGTTCGGGAAGCTCAGGAGGGTCCCCAGGGAAAGGGACATGATCTTCCCCTGTCCACGCTGAATCCCTCCAGGAACACCAAGGCCATTGGATGCGGGAGCCAAAGTCAGCATTTCCTGTTTTGTGTGGGGTCCAAACAGGCCCCGGCAGGGCTGGGCAAACCTGTCTCTGAGGTGATCCAGGCAGTATCGGGGTTGGGGACCCCACCTGGGACGGAGGGCCCTGGGTACCATTCCTTTTCCTCTCATGCCCAGAGAAGGGTGTAGCAGGATACACAGTCCACAAAGAAGAGGGAGGCACCATCATTCCTGAAAGCATCCGGCCGCCACAGAGCCCCGGCTCCCCAGTCCCAGCATCAGACGGAGCCCCCCGCCCCCCGCCCGCACGGTACATCCCGGCGCCCGCAGGACCAGCCCCGCAGCTCCCAGGCTTTCTGCCCCTTGCCACCACTGCCACCCTGGCCCCTCCTACTCTGCTCTGGCAACCACCGCGGCAAAGCGCCGAAGCCCGGAGCAGGAGCAGAGCAGCCCTGCGTCCTGTCCCACCCGCCGGAGCCCCCACCTACCTCCAGCCCGCGTCCTGCAACGGCCTCTCGGGCTTGGAGCATCTCCCGGCGGCGGGGCCTCCTCCCAGCCAGGTCGCGGGAAGAGCAGACTTGTCAGAGGAGAGAGCCAGGAGGACGGAAAAAGTCCTCTGGGAAGAAGGTGCGGAGGGGGGCGGGTGCAGGCTGCAGTGGGTCCCCTGCCTTCCCGGCACGGCACCGTGACCTCCTCCGGTCCAAGGTCTCTGTGGCCAGAAGCGGAAGCGCGGTTTCTCGAAAGTAAGGGAAGAGACAAGAAAGCGGGACAGACTCGTAAAGAGCAAACCCCAGCCAGATGTGAGCAGGGCGCCGAGCCTCCAACGCTCCCAGAGCACATTATCCAAACAGCAGCCGCTGAGGATTAACTGTGTGGTGCCCGCGGGCAGAGGAGAGCCGCACTGCCCTCCTCCTGGCCACCCTGGGGAGCCGGCCCAGCCTGGGGGGCACGGGGGACCCATCCCAGCCTCTGGAGGTCCTTCCAGGTGTGGGGGCAGCTGGGGGTCCAGGACAAAGAGGGTGGGGGCCCCCGAGTTGCTGGGTGGTAGGGGATGGCTTCCTAGGAGCCCAGGGGGCACTTGTTGCCAACGCTGTGGGATCGAGTCCCCAAACGGTGGCAGACCTGGGACACACTTTCAGTCAGAGGCTCCCTGCTGGGGTCCAGGGACCACAGACAGGTTTTGGAGAATCTGGGATCCCCCCCAACCAATGCAAAGCTGTGTGTGCATGCAAATGTTCACTGGGGGACGGGGAGGATCTACTGCTTTGACTGGATTCTCAGAGAGCTCTGTGATCCAAAGGTTAGGAAGGTTAGGAAGCCCTGGCTGGAGGCGCAGATTTTCCAGAGGACAGTGTGGCCGCCTGGGTAGGGCCAGGAGGGACGTCAGCATTGCTCGGCCTCTATCAGATTCTGGTTCCTTGATATGAAAAACAGGCCTTTTCCTTGTCTTAGACGCAAGCTCTAAACGGGTTCCCCCAGCCCCGCCTCGCACCCTGATAGCCGCTCCCAGCTTCTACGGAGCTGCCCGGGTCAGGCTGATCTCCGTCCCCAGACTGAGTCAGAACGGTTAGTTCTGACGTCTTATCATATCGCAAGAAGAGGAAGGATCCGGCCAGAGTAACAAGGCTCTGAGATGGTGAGAACCGTTTTCTTGCTTGCTTGCTTCTTTCCGGACCATGTGCACGTTCTCCCTGAGTGGCTTGGATGTCACACCTGCAGCTTGTGGACTGTCATCGTCGCTGCTCCCAGGGGCCTCTCTGCCTGGCTACGTGCGCACAGGATATATAGAAACAGGGGTGCTCATTTGAGATGTTCCGGGGAAAACACAGACGACGGCACCCTAATCTCTCTTGCCTTGGAAACTCCTGTCTGCTGCTGCTCCCCATGTCTGCCCGAAGGGCTGAGAAATCAGGAGGAAAGGGGGGGGACTGCAGACCTCCCACCCAGCAGGCACAAGGAGCGCCGGCTCTGGGTGGCAAAGCCAGGAGGGCCCAGCCAGAGACACGGGCCGCCTGCGGGCTCCCGTGGGAACAAAGGGAGAGATGCCTTGATCCCTGAGGGGCCCTGGAGAACTTCAAGGACACTGGCAGGATCACGTAAATGCGTCTCCCTCGGAGATGGGAGACGCTCGGGAATCATTCACATCTTTGGCATGTGCCTGAGGCTTGGCAAAACTCACATCCCTGCTTGCTTATCGACACAGGAAACCCAGAGATAAGCTCATCTTGGTTCCTGCGCACTTTCCTGGCCAACAGGACCCAGGCCTAGCACACTGGCTGACCTTCCCCTAGCGGCTCTGTCCTTAGGTGGCCTTCACAGCAGGGATGCCCGGGGGGAGACACACAAGAAAAGCAAGAGAGACAAGTAGGCCACGTCTCTGTGCAGCCCCTGTCAGGCCTTCGTCTGGGGCCTTAGACAAGCCGTGTCTTTCTCAGAACTCCTGTGAACCAAGAAACATCCTGGATGTGATGGGAAAGCCTCCCCCTCCCCCGGAGGCCCAGAGCTTGGGAGTCCTGGAGCCACACCAGGACACAAGGCTGGGCACGTGGCTTGAAAGAAAAACAGATAAAGAGATTTGCCCCTTTCTTTATCCCATCCGAGATGGCTTTAGTGTTGAGGAACTGGAAGACAGTTATCTTTTTTTTTAAGATTTTTTTTTTTTTATTCGTTTAAGAGAGAGGCAGAGAGAGAGCATAAGCAGGGGGAGAGACAGCCAGAGGGAGATGGAGAAGCAGGCTCCCCGCTGAGCAGGGAGCCCAACGTGGGGCTCGATCCCAGGACCCTGAGATCATGACCTGAGCCGAAGGCAGACGCTTAACCCTCTAAGGCACCCAGGTGCCCCTGAAATATAGTTATCTTAGAGATAATTAAAAGACAGGAATCCAGAGGCCCGATGGAGAGAAGAGTTCTAGAAACACAGCCAGTCAATGACCCTGACTTCCAGCGGCAACTGCTCGTTCTAGCCAGAGGCTTTACGTCCTGAGCCTGAGACGGCAGGGGGCCTTAGTCTCCTTGTCTATAAAGCAGAGATTGGGTCCAGGGTCTCTAATCCAGAACCCATGCAGTCAGACGCGGCCAAAGTAAAATGCAGACATCTTTCAGCACATCTCACCCCGCGGGGCTCTACGCAGGGCCCCCCGCACCGGACCCGTGTTTACCCTCACAAGGCTGCAGGTCACGCTCTTTTGCCAAAGTCCTTCATGCCAAACTCGGGGGGGAAGACCACGGTTTCAGAGCTTTTCGTATTTTGGGGACTTGGGGTAAAGGACTGTGCCTATGTAATTGTCACGCGGCCGATGAAAGGCCCAACAGCAGATAAAAAGCACGAGTATGCTCATGATAACTGTCATTATGGTAAGTATAATCTTCCTCCTTCCCTCCTCTTGGGTCGAGCCCCCACATCTCCCAGGAGGTTAGGAAAGGGATTACTCAGATCTCTTGAGGCAGAGACCAGGAGGCAGAGGGGCGCTGGTATGAAATGTGGCAACAAGGACCTGGAGTTTTCCAAGACATCCGCATGAGACAGAAGGCTCAGAGGCGTGGAAAGTTCCAGAAGAAAGGGAACCACAGTCTGAGCACATCTCAGGCATCACAGCCCACAGCTCAAGCCAACAGGCAAAGGGGGAAAGAGTCACAAGGCCAGCTCAGCCCTGGATGAAAGAAACAAATTCTGTCACCCGAACACCGAGCTGGCCAGGTCCCTAATGCTCTTTGTACTTCCTCACTGCTTTAAAACGAAGTAGGAAAGCGACGCGGGGCAGGCTGGGGGTGGTCCTGCAGACTACCTGATTGTCGGTCCTCCATCAAGGCCGTAGTGCCCTCAGGCAACGAGGGCAGAATGCTCCCAATTCAGCAAATATCTTCCGTGTTGGAAAGTCCTGGCCAGAATTAAGGACAGGAGTCATGGTCCCAAAAAAAAAAAAAAAAAAAAAAAAAAATTAACAACTCAGAACCCAAAGCCAGCAGCCGTGCCTGAGGGAGATTTCATCAGCCCCTTGATGGGTCAGAGGCCACGGCCAACCAGAACGATGAGCCCCTCCCCGCGCAAGGTCTCTCTTTTCAGTTTTCCCAAGTGGTTCTAGGTCACGCCCATCCTGGAATTCCCTAGGAGCTCACACCTCCTACACAAGGATGTCTGGGCCAAACACTTAACGGCTTCCAGAACCTTCCCAAGTGGCCCCACATCCTCAGACAAGGGCAGCTCATGGAACCTGAAGGCCAGAGACTCACGGGGGAGAGAACATTCCCAGGAGGCAGCATGTTCTACGTCCCTCCCTGTTTGGCAATCCCTTCTCTCTCCCTGGGCATATCACTGCTAGTCACTGGTCTGTTTTCACATTCCTGGAAAAGACTATGTGACCTCGGTTAACGTCTGTAAGACGCTGGGTTCCAGATAAGCACAGCCTGTCATTAGCAGCGCTGTGATTTTTTTTTTTTCCCCGCTGTGGCCCCAGCATTCTGCCTGTTCTAGCTATTTTGGGCCAGGCTGCCCAGCCGTCCCACAAGGGCAGAGACCAGCATTGCAAACTTCTGCATTCTGTTCGGAAGAGGGGGGCCACAGGCAGGCCGATGGCGGTGTCCCACTGCCAAGGGCGGGGGTGAGGGAGTCTCCGTGGAGATTTGGAAGAGATGGAAACTTGGCGGCCAGACCCAGCCTCCCTGGCCGCTGGCCCATGCTCCTTGCTCCTGGATGGCAGTGCCTGCCTTCTGGAAGGCTGGGGGCAGGTGGGGATCAGGACTGGCCACTGCAAGGACAGAACAGGCCTACCTGTTGCTTCACCAGCCCTCACACCCGGAGAAGCCTTCTGTCTAAGGAGGACAAGCCTTTCTCTGGAAGGTCCCCCCTGCCGCCCTTGACTGGACGCAAAGTCGAACCATGAGGGACAAGAAAGCACACTGGCAGTTCTGCCTTTTGCCATCTATGTGCTTCCTGACTCTAATCAGGCATTTACTGTCCCATGCCTCAGTTTCTCCATCTCTCGGAGTTGACATCCCTACTGCGGGAGTTCCTTTCCCGCCCTTACAGAGATAACCCAGAGCTGTCACCAACAGGCAGCCCTGGACTCGATAAACAAAATGGGAGGGCCCCCTGGTGGACTGCTCCCTTCTAAGCCTTCACAGCGACTCGAGTGAGCTAGAACGTAAGTAAACAGACAACGGGTGATTAGCGTGAAGATTTTTTAGTCTTTTATGTAGAGTTACGGAAACAAAAGGGGGAGAGAAAAGTTCTGGACGAAGGCCAAGGTGATGTCTCCAAGGATGCACAGGAAGTAAGGAGAATTTAAACCACCTAGGGGCACTCGAAGAGCATTTTCAGGGCCTGGTCTCTCCAGAAGGCAGGAAAGCAGGTGTCTGTCCACTAGAGGACGCGAACACCCTTTTACCTAGTAATTGTCCTTCCAGCGATTTATCCTACAGATGTAGGACAGATGTAGTACAGATCCTGCTCGTGAGTTCAAGGACTTGCCCCGAAACGTTGTAATGTAAGAAGATCACACCTATCCTAAAAGGACAGCGTTAGGGGCCTGGCACAAGAAATAACGGGACAGCCACACAGCGGAGTATGACGAAGCTCTATAGAGAAGGAAACATGTCTTGACATAACCACACAGACCAAGCTATGGGGCGAAGAGAAAAATGACAAAACTTCCTGAAAAACATTAACGGAGACCTGAGTAAATGGAAAGGCAAACCATGCTCTTTGGCAGAAGGCTCAACGTCATAAGAGAGCAGTTCTCTCTGAATTAATCTGTAGATTCCATTCAAAACCCCAAAAGTGAGGGGTGGATGGGATGTAGGAGGGGCCTGAGGGGGAATTGTCCTACCACATGTGAAGGTTTATTATAAAGTGGCAAGAGTGAGGACAGTGGTACTGAAGAAGACAACTGTCCCCATATGACACACTAAAGCCCCTAAACAGACCCATGTATTTATGGAAACTTGATCTATGACAAAAAAGGTATTGCACCCATACCAATGGAAAGGACGGATTATTTCCTAAAAATGACACTGAGAGGCTGGGGCATCTGCGGAAGAAGAAATATACACGGCCAAAAAACATGGGAAAGATACACAACTTCCCAGCAATCAGGCAGTGAGAAGACATGTAATCCCAACACGCCAGATAGCATCTGCGAAGCGGCAGGATCTCCCGGCCATTGCGTACAGTTTTATTTCCTTTTTTGTACAAGTTATAGTAGGCATAGATATTGTTGAGGGATACATATCTATTTGCTAAAATTACAACATAAAGCGTGAGAGTGATTCAAGATTGCATTCACTTCCTGGGGTGGGAGGGGGTTTGGAAGGGGGAGGAGTATGGAGGCCTTGCCAGAGAGCAGGGCGAGACTTTTCTTCCTCGGATCTTAGAAAATAAAAGATTTGAATAATTTAAAATAGTGGTAATATATGGTACATAGTTAGAACTCAGTTTCGCATAAGGAGAAAACAAATGAATTCCACAGGGGTTTGTCTCCTTTCCACCCCCTCCCCTCCCAAAATGCAGAACCGAGTGGAAATAGCAAATTTCCATTTGGTTTTTTAAAAAAGTAATTTAATATACGCATTTGTGATTGGTTTGCGTGTCACAAAATCTCTCTAACCACAACAGCAAGAAACTAGGAACAGTGACTGCCTCTGGGCAGGGAATGCAGAACAGGGACCAGGAGGTTGTTTTTCACCGGACATCATTTACATAATTTGAATTTTTCTCTTGTGCATCTGTTACCTAAGGGACGGCTCCTGGAGGCCCTGGGGTGACTGCGCGCAGGCCAAGGCTGGAGTTGCAGGCCCACAGAGCACTAGCCCTCGCCTAGCTCACTGCTACCGGGCTTTTCTCGTTATTTCTAAAATGGGCATTTTTGCAGGACTTGGGGGTGGAGAGCAATATATCCCATTAAAATAGCGCAGGGGCCGGGAGGGGACTGGAGAAGCAGGGCGAACTGGATACCCTTATTTGGGAGGAGGTTCCCAGACTGTAAATCAGCGGCGGGGAACCCACCCCCACCCCACCCCCGGCACCCTCCCCCGCCAGGACACTCCAATCTTAGAGACCTGCGCCCTGATCGCTGCTCTGGAAGCTGACCAGCTTTCCGAAGTGGCACATCCGAAGGGCTGAGGAGAGGGGCTCGCTGATAACTAGGGTGGCAGAAAGGGGTCCGCGCTTCCCCGCCTCCCAGGAGACCACAGGGGTCGACGGGGCGAGGCGAGAGGTCCTAAAATCTCAACTCGAGAAATGATCCCGCCTCCCTCTTTTGCTGGGCCGGCGTTCCGGGACAAAGCGGTGGAAGGGGCCTGCGGGGTGGTCCCCGCGCAAGTCTGCGCCCCTCCCTCTAGTCCCGGCCGCCGGAGGCGCCCTCCGAGCTATAAAAACTACAACTCCCAGCAGTCCCTCTCCCGCTGGTGCGCAGCCGCAGAGCAGAGGCTGCCGGGAGCGCGCGCCGGGCGGAAGTCGGCCGCCCGCAGGGTCCCGGCCTTGCCGCAGGGAAGCCCCGCCGCCCGCGGGCCCCGGAGCCAGACTGCACCGGGTGAGTGACGGCTGCTCCCGCGCCCGCCGCGCCCTCCCTCGCGACGGGCCTGCCCCGTAGCCCTCCCACCCCGCCACGTCCCGCCGCCGACCCTCAGACTCCCGAGAAACGGTTTCCTTCGTCCGACCAGCGGTGGACACCTACGCTGACTGACTCGCGGGGCTCTCACTGGCTCTCACTACTGCGGGACACCTCCTCCCTCTGACTGGTGCGGGACACCTACCCCCCCTGACTGGTGAGGGACGCCTCCCCCCTCTGACTGGGGAGGGACACCTTCCCCCCACTGGTGAGGGACACCTCCCCCTCTGACTAGTGTGGGACACCCTGCCCCCTGACTGGTGCGAGATGCCTCCCCCGTCTGACTAGCATGGGACACCTCTCCCCTCCAACTTGAGAGATACCTACCCTGACTGACTTGTGGGACTCTCAGTGGCTCTGACTAGTGCAGGACACCTCCCGCCTCTGACTAGTGCGGGACTCCTGCCGCCTCTGACTTATGGGACTCTCATCCCTCTGCCTAGTGCAGGACACCTCCCCCCTCTGACTAGTGTGGGACACCTACCCCTTCTGACTAGTGTGGGAGTCCTGCTCCCTCTGACTTAAAGGGACTTCCATCCTCTGACTAGTGTGGGATACCTACCCTCTCTGACTAGTGCAGGACACCTCCTACCTCTGACTAGATCAGGACCCCTGTCCCTTCTGACTAGTGGGGGACTCCCATGCCCTCTGACTAGCATGGGACATCTCCCCCATCCGATTCAGGGGACTTCTACTCTGCTCTGACTCTTCCCTCTGACTTGAGGGATTCTTCCCCCCTCTGACTATCATGGGACAACTTTGAGCCCTGGAGTCTGCTCCTTTCACTGGGACAGCTATCCCTGGGTCCAGTCCCTTCCTGCCCCCACCCCCACCGTGATTTTAGTGATTTAGCAATCACCCCTTCCGTGATTGCTGGGCCTCTCCTCTCCCACTTGGGAGCCCTCCCCTCTCAGACTGGCACTTTGTCACACCGGCAGCCGGCCACCCTCCCCTGACCCGGGCCTCACCTTCCTTCCTTCTCTGCCCAGACCACCCGCCGTCCTCCCGCGCGTCCGTCTGGCCTGACGCTCTCACCCTAGGTGTGGCGCCCCCTCCTTCGTCCCTACGGCTTGCTGCCTTCCCTTTGCCCTGTGTGTCCCCAGGCCTGGCGGATCCCGGGACCCGCCGTCACTCTGCCTGCCCGATCCAGCTCTCTCCCAGACGCCTTGGTGTGCCCAGGGAGCCGGGGTCTCTTAGCGCACCAGCCCCGCTTGTCACCGTTGTCCCAGAGGACGTGCTCGCCGCCGTTCCCCTGCGTGGTTCCAGGGCGTAGGTTTGCTGTTGTCAGCGGGCTCCTGCCGGCTCCTCAGCGTAGGGAACAAGCCCGGCAAGAGCACAGGGTCACGGGGGGGTCCCCGAAGAGGAAGCAGGTGCCGCAGCCTCCCCTTCCTCTCCCTTTTCGGAGCGGTACTGGGACGGATGCCCCCCAGCACCCGGCCCCAGCCCGCAGGCCTCCAGGCAGGACAGTCCAGCCTGGGCCTGGGGGCACCGCGGGGAGCGGCCTCCCAGGCCCCTCCCCGCAGCCTCAGGGACCCTTCAGTTCTGGCCTCCGGGCGCCGCCGACAGGCCCGCCGCTGGGCCAGGCTGCGCGCTGTGGGCCTGGGCAGTGGGGGCTCCGGTGAGGCGCGCGACTGTTCAGGGGCGGCCTGGAGGCTGAGCGGTCGCCGTGTTCCCGCGGGACCCGTCTCGGAAGGCGTGGGCGCCCCGGGACGTGGAGGAAGCCCTGGACTTGCACGTGTACCTGAGCCACGTCGTGTCCCTCCCCTCGCTCTGTCCGCGCGTTTGTGCTCTCTGCGGCCGCCTTCTCCCCCCAGAGCCTCCCTCGGCCGTGGCTCCCGCCCACCTCTCGGCCACGGCCCTGCCCTGAGTGTGTGGGTTTCGGCTGTCGATCCGCCACGCTTCCTTGAGCCTCAGAGGGGTGCGGGCAGACCCGGACAGGGACGGGACCGCGCTTCGCTCTGCTGCTGTGTCCCCCCACCCCCCGGCGAGGGGCCCCTGAGGTGGGCCCGTGTGGCCTCACAAGGACGCGGCCCCTTTCTTCCGAGTCGTAAGACCCTCCGGCGGCCGTCTGGGGCGCTGCGCACACACCTGAGTGTTCCTCTTTCGGAAGCAGCATCTCAGATCTGAGGGCGCGGCCGGGCGCCCTGAAGTGCATCAGCCCCGTGACCGGGATGTCATTTCTGTGTCGTGTGGACATCTGTGGAATGGTACCTGGGACGCGGGAGGGGACACCTAACCAGTGCCCTCGTCCTTCCAGAATGCTCTGGACTGTGGCTTTCGGGCTTTTGTGTGGCCTTTCCTCCTGGTGCGAGCAAGACAGTTCCTTAGACAGGGGAGGTCTGGGAACGTGTTCAGTTTGTCCGTCTGTTTCTCGTTTACCTGTAACGAGGGACAGGTACCGGGACCTCGCAGCTCAGGGTTCCCAAGCAGAGTGCCGCCGCGTCCGTGTTCACCGGGGACGTGCCGTGGGAAGCAAGGCCTCGCGCAGACACTGAGGGACAGCGTGGAAGGGTCCGATCCCAGTGCTGCCAGAATGGCCACAGGGGTCCGGCCGGGCCACGTGCGTCCTGCGGTGCTGACCGCTGTGTCCGGGGAGCCCGGCCCTGGAGAGGACGGGACAGAAGACGGGCTCAGGCAGGTGCAAGCCTGCTGATCTGGGTGCGTGGTGGGATTTTTATTGCGTCCCCTTATTCGCAGGCTCTCTGGAAAACAGCCCTGACGATGCAGTGTTGTCTGGGATGTGGCTTGGACTGGAAGGGCAGCTTTTCGCCGAAAGTCCCCCTGACGCGTAACCTTGGCGATGCAGCACCGGCACACGGCCCTCCCGTGATGTAACAGGTGCAGGCGGCGCGGGGCTCTGGAGCTGTGCCGCCCGCACCGTGGACAGAGCCGTGTGCGCACGGTCCTGGCCCCTGGGAAAGCTGGACATCCTCTCCCTGTCTCCCTTCTTGTGGTCGGCAGAGTAACGGCTCCCCGAGATAGCCACGTCCTAACCCCCAGAACCTGCAAGTGTGTGCTGCGGCAAGAGGGGACGAAGGTAGCAGATGGAAGGAAGGTGCTGATCAGCTGACCTTGAACCAGGAAACGCATCCTGGAGTGTCCAGGTGGCCCAGGGTAACCCCGGCTGGAGGAAGCGGGAGACAGAGGCAGAGGAGCGGGGGGCGGGGGTAGCAGAGGGGTGCGGAGGTGCAGTGCGGCCGCGTGGAAGGCGAGCAGTGCCCGCTCCTCCAGAAGCAGGAGGTGTCCGAGGGGAGGGTTCTCCGCGGGGGCCTCTGAGGGAGCACAGCCCTTGATTTCGGCAGTGGGGGTCCTGCAGGGCCGCGAATGAGTGTGCGGCGTCAGGCCGGGGTCGAAACCCCAGTCCCCTCCGGGGCAGGCTTACAGACGGAAACACAGCGGAGGACGTTACCCCGAGCTGTGTTTAACCTGCTTCAGGAAGCAGGCGTGAGCGCCGGCTGTGTGCAGAGTGAGGGAGTGCGAGGGCCGGCCCCGCAGCCTTTGAGGAGACTGCTGTCAGCAGGAGGCCCTCAGGTAGTCCCTGGAGGACATACTTGGCCTCTGTGCCTTGCCCTCTGCCTCTCACACCTGCCCAAATTCGAAAGGAAACTTTCCAGCGATAGAGCCTTGGTGAGTCCCAAGCAGCCTTGGATGGGGCAACACGTTCGCAGAGCCTGGTGTTGGACGATCGCTCCCCTGAGACACACCCAGCCGTCTTGGAGGCTCTGAAGCCCTGGGCCTCTGTGTCACCTTGTGTCACTCTGACGAGCGCACTCCCGCCAGGAAGCACACGTAGGCAGCGAGCAGAGCGGGGACTCTGACCTGCCTGCTGTCTGGACACAAGCTCTGCAGGACCGTTCAGTTCACAGGCCGCGGTGGGGAAGGGGAGGCAGCCGCTGCCCAGGACAAAGGGCCTGAGGGGCACAGGCACAGTCTGAGGGGGGAGGCAGAGCCTGAGAGGGGAGGCAGAGGAGGCTGCGCGCTTGCTTCCTGCCCCTCCTAGATCCTGAAAGGGAGGAGTTTCGCTCTGGCAGCTGCTGTTAAACCTGTTTGTTCTGCCACCGGCCACACACCTGAAGGAAGAGGAGATAGAGACCCTCCGGGTTGGGCTGTATCGGGAATGGCTGCCGCCTTTTTTCCGAGCCTCCTGTAGAATCCCAAAGATGGCCCAAGAAGGTAGGGGTGGCCCCTTCCTCCGGGGGCCAGGGCAGGAGCGTCTCCCTGGTAGTGGCGCTCCCTCGGAGTCCAGGGACCCACTTGGGAGTGGAAAGACAGAGTCACACCTTGCTGTTCCGGCCTGTGTTAAAGGAAGTGCCGGCGAAAGAAGCCACAGGCGTAGGGGTGTCGGTTAGCCATTCTTGACACCTGTTTGAAAACGAGGGGAGTGGGGAAGGCAGTTGGGCCTGCAGCAGCCTGGGTGGTGGTGGTTCCTCTGGGGGGCTCTTTGCAGGGACCTCGCCCTGCAGCGTGGTGGGCGCGGGAGAAGGGAAGCCAGCAGGGGTGCGGTCCCTGGGGGTTTCTGAGCGGGAGAGAACTGGCGCCGGCCCACCCGGACAGGTGAGCTTGGCCCGTCAAAGAGCCTGCGACGTTTTCCGTAGCAGCTTGGTTCTGATTTTCCCGGAGATACCAGATCCACCCATGAGGCTGCAGGTGGTGGGGCTGACAGCCTTGTCCCGGAACAGCCCCTGTTTGGACCGCTCAGAACCTCGCGGGTCGTGCGCAAGGAGACCCCTTCCCACGGGCCTGTCCTGGGAGCGGCTCGGTCCACTTCGCACTGAGCCTCCGCCGGCACATTGCAGCCGCGTGCGTGGCCGGAAGTGTTGGGGAGGGGGTTGTTTTGTTTTGAAATAAAAACACAAGCTCTCATTCTGCACAAGACAGGCCGCTCATCGCTGGCTCTGGGTGTGACCAGCGGGAGTTGTGGA